TCAATATAATAAAAATCCTATATATGACTAAAAATGTGGTTATATTGGCAACTGCATCATTAATAATCTTTATATGACATTGAGTGTAATGTATTCAGATGTCCTTTGCATGGCAGATGCTTGGATGTATATATATATATATATACTTACATACATCGACGATCACTAAATACCCAGTCTATATCTTATGAAAGTTGGTGGTATAATTAATTACCGGTTAAAACTATATTGATTTAATTTGATTGTAAATTATAGTAAAGGTGTTTATGTATCAAATTTTATCTAGACTAATCCACATCTTGTGTTCTCTTTAATTTTATGTATTTTTGTTCTGCTTGATTACAAGTAATATATTGTTTTTAAATTACAGTGCTGAAAAACTTCTCCTACAATTTATTTTAGCTCTTACTACTAGAACTAATTAAGAAATAACTTTACCCTGAAATGCTGGATAAGTAAACAATATTTCTAAAGCCTAAGCTGTTGTTTTTTCTTGTAAAATGGAAAGTTTACTCTAGTAAAACTATTACTAGCCTAATAATGTTCCAAGCTGTACTGAATGATGTAAAAATATCAATACATAAATTTTTTTTATCATATGTAACGTTTCTGAAACTAAATTTCATTAACTTTTTACGTTTCATTTTCAGGCATGGAAGTTTAGTTATATGATAATTATAATAATATTTTTTCTTTCTCGTAACTCACATTATACAAACAATTGACATATTATAATGACCTCTTTTTGGTCTCTTTTTCTTTTCTGTTCATTTCGACATATCAGTGGAACACGTCAATACTGTGCTCTTGCTTTCTACTGTTGAAAAATAGACTTAATTAAATAACAAATATAGATTCGTTTTTATTCCTCGATAAAGCAGTAATGTTTACTAGATTATGACAGCTAGGTCGATACTTTGAAATTAATATCTTTTATTGTAATTAACTAAAAAATTTTCTTGATTACATGTTCATTAAAGTTGCTGCATGGTTACATGGAATATTTTTTATAACTGTTAGGGTTTAGGATTCTTATAAACTGCTATTCAAAATTCACAGCATACGTGTACTGGTGTTCTTTATTTCTATAAAGTGTTTTCAGGTTTTTATAATAGTTTTTAAAATCTTTTTCTGAATATTTAACATATGTACTTTCCGAAGCGAGTTTTATATTACTGCCTAGAGCCTAATGTTTACCACTATGTGATGCTTTAACATTACTGACTCTGTTTATTAAAGAAAATTAAAGAAAAATTTAAAATTTTATGCCTGCTTATTCAATCAAAAATTAATTTAACTCAATTTGTAGGAAAATAAAACATAATCAACATATTGGATTAATTCATGCGTTGTGTGTTTTTATGGGAAGAAGGGCAGTTATTTAGTAGATTACCAAATAATTTTAATAAAGTTCTAAAAATTATGATTTCAAGGTTTTATAATAATAAATCATCAGATTTTTGCTTATTAAGTATGATATATTTGAATCAGTGGCCAGAATTGTTTCAGTTGGAAACTAATATGTAGCTCTATGTTTATTATACATATCTAAAAACAAAATCTTGTACTTTGAAAATTCAAATATTACCCGCTGGCTATATACATGCAGCGTTAAAGGTAACACAGCTACATGAATATAAATTAAGGTTGTGTCAGAACTTGAAAGCAAGCAGTTATACTAAGCATAAACCCTGTTGAGTATGAATAAGCTTTGGATTCATATTTCTCAAACTCGTTTCACACATGAGCAGACTTTAAAGCTATGGCCATCAAAGTGAAATTCACTTCTGTCACGAGTATTTTGTCCATAGAACCTATTCACGCAAAATAACTAACACCTGATGAAAATATCTTGTTTTTTCTTGCATGGCGAGCTTCGGAGTATTCATTTTTTTCTTCTTAAAATACGCAGTTAAAATACATAAAAGGGTATATAAAGTTGAACTAGGCAAAAATTATATTAATTTCTTTGTTTTTCAACGTTATATAATATTATCACTCAGTTTATATAAATCAGAAAAGGTCAGGCACATGATCGTCCAGAGAAAATAAACCTCTAAAATAACAGTATCCGCGGTCACAGCACCACATTTTCTCTACCTACTTCTTGGGATTCTCAGATTTACGGAATTCCCTCAGAGTAAACGGGTAGAATATACAAAACAAGATAACCATCAAATACGTTATCACGGTGTAAAGGTCTGACTTTTCTCGACTTTGACTGAGAAATAGGCTGAGCCCAAGGTTGTATAAAGCAACTATCTTTATTTATAAATTAAAAACCCAATCAAAGTCAAGCAAAGGTAGATGTTTAATGTGCTCTGTTAAACTGGAGAGCGGGAGATATACCTTTATTAGGTCTCTCTCTCAACAGTTCTGGGTGAAATTAAGCTTTAGTGTCAAAGCACAAAATAAACATTTAAAATTAATCTATAAAACAGAAAATCGGCAATTTGCAAATATATTTAAAAACAAAAAGAACACCTTGTTTAAAATCAAAATCTACATTAAACAACAAAATGCAAAATATGTCTAAATCAGATAATTTTGAACAAACTCATCAAATTTATCTAACATCGAATATAACTTAAACAGAGAAAACAGTAATATATACAACGCATACACACTCTCTTAGGGGCACGCACTATTCACGTGACTGAAGGCCACTCTAAGGTTAACAATTACATGTCAAGACTTTAGGATATCACTTGTTTATATCTTGATTAAGTTTTTAAGTTAAAGTTTTGTTTGTTTGTTGTTAAGTACATAGCTACATAATGGGCGATCTGTGCTATGTCCACTACGGATATCCAGTCCCGGTTTTTAGCGTTATAACCCTACATCAGATATTTGAGGTCCATGAGAAAAATAAACTTTGTAGACATTTATGCTTATTCTCATAATTTTCAAAGTTAAAAGAAAACAAAAAAGTTCTAATAAAGATACTAATCCTAGTGCATTCATATATATATATATATATATCTATTAAGATCTAATGATAACCCCAAAATAGACAAATTTAAAGTGTTTGCCATTTACAGTTGTATAGAATTTGGACATCGAAATAGCGTGTGATTACTCAAATCAGTAACTCCAAAAAACCTCTTATTCTACACTCTTTTGCTGTTAGTTCCTATCAAAGACTATAGCGAGTTTACAATAGTGTTTTTTAGCTTATTTTTTAAATTATTATTGTTCTTTCTGTGAAGGTACAACTTATTCTTTCTGGTGATGACGTATGTGGTGCCAATGCTGACTATGGCCTTTACTTACTCAAAAATGTGCTGTACTCTATGGGGAAGTCGTGGGATCGGAGTGGAAACAGAAAGACAGAGGAATCTTATTAAATCAAAACAAAAGGTGGGGGTTTTAGATAGAAAGATAGATGAATAGGCAGTCAGAGAAATAGAAATGCACATAGTAGAAAAACTAAATAAACTGAATTTAAGAATATTAGTATTCTTGCATAAATTTATCCATTTTAATGCATTTATGTTACATTTCTAACACTTCATTGTAATTAGTTTATCTAATTGATATTTCTGTATTAATGAAAAAGATAAACAGTAAATATCTTTTCTCTGTATTAAAATAAATATAACTTTGCGTGTATTTTTGTTTATTAACCACAATTAAGTATGAACTTCTGAGACTCATAAGATTACTCATTTTTAAACCTTTTTTTAAAATAAATTTCAAGATACTAATATTTCTTTCGTTTTTTTAATAAAGTATATGAATATTTTTTTTTGGAATTATGGTTTCCAAAGGATTGAACAAAAACTTTAATGAAAATTTCTCATCTATTTTTTTGGCAGAGACTGTTTGTTCTTGGTTAGATTTTCTTTTATAAAAACTTTAACGCATTGCCTTACAGTTTATTTTATACATGTATTGAGACAGAATTATATATTGATTTTATTGAAAGACTGAGAAAATGTGGAGTTTTATTATATAACTGTTTATTATGCATAGAAAGTCTCGCTTTGGAAATGACCATTAATAAAAAAAAACATGTTTCCTATTTAGATACTTAAATTTGTTATTGTTACGGAAACATGTTTTGTAAATTTTCGTTAATTCGAGACCAAATAGCAATTATATGCGAGTAAATTCATGGATATTATTTTTAATTGTCTAAATATGTATTAATAACACTTCTGAGTCAGTTTTATTGAGTAATCAACACGCAAGTTGGCGTGGATAATGCTTTAGGACTTCTGACGAATTTAATATCGTAAAAACACGTCACCACCAGCAATAACTTGGACCTAAACACTGAAATGGAGAAATATGTGATCTTCCCAACCGAGAAAAAGGGCTATGCCAGTACTATAGCAACACACTGTTTAAACAATAAAATTTCTTCCTCCATCTTATCTATAATTGCGAAAGTTTGTTTGGTTTAAATTTCTACTCGAAAGCTGTCTGTGTTAGCCGACCCTAATTTAGCAGTGACAGACTATAAAGAAGACAGCTAGTCAAAAAACACCTACTGTTAGCTCTTGGGACTACTCTTTACCAACGAATGGTGGGATTGAGCGTCACGTTATAACGCCCCCAAGGCTGAAAGGGCTAGTATGTTCGGTGACGGAGATTCAAACCCACGACCAGCAGACTTATGGGCGCCTAAAAAGAGCATGTTCAACCAAATTCGTAACTCAAAAATCTTCTAATTCTATACTTAATATGAAATGACAAACGTCTTTGAATAAGCTGGGTTTCATAAGTAGCACAAAGAAAAAATGAAAAGCCAGAACTTCTTCTATTTGTACATTTTCTATTTCTTTCTATTTTCACCATCTTCTGTTCATATAAATTAATCAGATTACCGAATTAATCAAAATACAGTAAACGCTAATTCCAGAATGAAACCATAGGTGATCGGAAAAAATATATAAAATATCACACTTATTATGGTTTTTTATGATAGTTAGAAAAACAAATGAACATTTTGTATGTGTCGGTATCATTGACTTTAATTTGTGAACATTTTCAGTGTCAAAATACAAATTACTTAAATATATTACCACAAATTACCTGTCTTTTTAATTACTTGATTAACAGTAATGCTTGCCATTTTTGTTTCTCTACAATATAATATAAATATTTAATATGAATAGAAAAATATAGTTTTAAAACGAAAAGTTCAGAGTTTGTAATAACAGTCTTATTTGGAGCTTATGATTTATGCTTATTTGAATGTATGGTGTTTTACAAGAATGATGTATTTAACAGAAATTTGGAAAGTAAAAGAGTCGATAATTGTTTTTAACTTTAAATGCTTCGTTTCTTTACTAGTTACATAACTATTAATTAGTGCAAAGTTTTAGAGCGTTATGGAAAAAATTTATTAAGTACAACTTATGTTGAAATTTATGTTTCCTTTAACTATGCTTATAAAATAAATATATGTATATCCAATTAAAAGTTGATAACTAAGTGTGTGAGATTTTAGTGTTAAATTTAAATATGGATAAGTAAAGACGCCGCTATAAAATAGATAAAGATAGGTATCAATGAAGGACTGGTTCTAAAGATAGATCACTGTCTGGTACACTACATATTTTATGAGGTTAAAGGTGTTGTATCTGACCATCATAGCAGCTCTTGGTAAATAATTTTCCCATGAGTTTCTTAGACTTACCGTTCAGCCACTGGGTGGCGGGAAAACGTCTATTCGTTCTTTTTGTTTGGTAGTCATGTAGATTAAATGTTTTTACTCTTGCATCATGTACGACATGATGGGTTCTGTTTTTTTCCTTCCCAGTATATGTCCCCTAGTGGGACAGCGGTAAGTTTACGAGCCTACAACGTTAAAATCCGGGGTTTAATTCCCGCTGTGGCTTTGTTCAGAAAAGCAAACAAACAATATTAGTATATACAACTGAATTATTATTTTCTATTTCTTAATTCCTACCTAACCATTCAATCTCGTATCTATAATAATTTCTATATTTATATATATTTTCTTCTTCTGGCATGTATGAATGTCATACTTGTTTAAAGACATTTTTATTTCATTCAAAAAATGGTTTTGGTCGAAAACGATTCCTTGTGGGTATAGTTGATTCTACATATGTGTTTTTCTTTCCTATATTTCCTGGTACCTAGGAAAATAGCATATATTAAGCCTTTTCAGCAGTATCAATATATTTTCATTTCATGTAAAACTTACTATGACTTCACTGCATGCCCTATTTATACATTTTCTCATACATAAAATACACGCTCTGATTAGGTACATTTTCTATCAGAGCAAACATAAAATCTATGTCTATTTATCCCTATAAACAAATCAAACAAATTTTCTTTCAACTGAGTCCCTCACTAGCTCAGCGATAAATCTGAACAATTATAACGCTAAAAATCCGGTTTTGATACCCGTGGTGAGTGCATCACAGATAGCACATTCTTCAGCTTTGAGCTTAACAACAAACAAGTAAACTTTTCACTGATAAATGGCTATTTGTCAAATTTTCGTTTCATTCATAGACCTGATATATTTGCACGTTATCATGGGTCAGTTTATTTATTATACACATGTTTTTGTTTTATATTCACAGATGAGCCTGTTTTCTTATTCAGAGTGGCTGTTTGAACAAACTTATCTTCAGGAAGCATAGTTCCGTTTAGTTCTCATCCTCTCTGTAACTTCCATCTTCTAGAATTACTAATACCTATGAAACTATCTTCTCTTATTATTTATTCGCATAAAAACTTTTTTTTTCTTTCGTTAGGTTCCATTCCATAACAGAAAATGTCACTTAATGTCATATTTTAAAGAAAGAATATCAGATTTCTGTGCTATGCTTCAACAGTAAAGGGTAAAAATCCTTATTCACTGGCCAGTACTAAAGCCTTATGATTTGGGCTACTTTTTTTTTCTTTCGTTAGGTTCCATTCCATAACAGAAAATGTCACTTAATGTCATATTTTAAAGAAAGAATATCAGATTTCTGTGCTATGCTTCAACAGTAAAGGGTAAAAATCCTTATTCACTGGCCAGTACTAAAGCCTTATGATTTTGGCTACTTGAATGAGATATGCTTCTTAGTTTACTCTTATAATTTTATTTCTGACATGGTGGAATAATTTGCTTTCTTTATCCCTTTCAGAGTACAAATAACCTATATGTCAGTGGCTCTTTTTTTCTTTATTCAGCAATTTTTTAATAAAGATTTGTACTACTGCTGCCACCTGTGTATATAAAATAATATGTTACTCTTCTGCTGTAGTAAAAGCTTTTTTTCTGACAGACTGTCGTGATTACCAGGTTTGAGATAAATAGAGATGTGGTTAGTTTTTTGTGTTTTAATCTGCTGATGTTTTCTCCATCCCACCAAACTTGCTCGCCCTTTCAGCTGTTATAATGTGACAGTCAATCTCAGTATTCGTTGGTAAAAGAGGGATGGATATCCCACATGAAACCAAAATACGCTGATCAAGTTTGTAAAATATCTTCATGACTTTATCAGTGGCTGGAGAAGAATGGGACGCTCTTTCTGAAGGGAAATATTTAGACAGCGAGATCGTTAAACGACACAGAGCCAATGAACACAGCAATCCCCCTTCCCAAAGAAAGTCTTCTGTATTTGTTTGTTTTTAGCACAAAGCTACAAAATGGGCTATCTGTGGCTTATGAAGGTCCCCGACGTATCTCCGATGGATGATTGTTGTTTGTTATTTGGTTAAGCCAGTGTTTGAAAGCTATTAACCTAAGACATTGGCCAGTTTATGTTATATGTCAGCTCTAAGTGTGGAGACATCGTAAAATCAGCTATATCCATAGTAGGTAAAACACTGTAAACATTTGAAAGTGATACACCAAATTATCACCCATATCCACAGTAGGTAAAACACGGTAAACATTTGAAAGTGATACACCAAATTATCACCCATATCCATAAAACACTGTTAACATTAGATAGCAATACATCAACTTCTTTATCAGACGATATAATTTTGAAGATCTTATTAGCTCGAGTTTGAACTTCACCATTACAATGACGTTTTATTGGAAGAATAGAGATATACAGTGAAGTCGTCTTTACAGGAAATCCGGAAGAAAAGAAAAGTCACATGTTGACATTTTATTGGAAGATTTGTAATGAAGTCTTCTTTGCAGGAAACTCGAAAGAAAAAAATCCTATTTATCGATGAACTGGAACGATCACGGTACGAGCTAAAGTTACGGAATGAAACAAATGATGTACGAAACTAATACTGGTTCATCGGGTTAAGGAAAGAAGGATCTGGCACTGAATGGTACCTGGATGTGTTACGTGATAAAAAGCCGGCAACACTGTTCATTGTATTGGAACAGATGCCTCCGTTCACTTACCCACATTTGGACTTTTTTTTTAAAAAAAAGAAGAAGATGAAAGAGAACAAACACAGGCTGAAACGATAATTCTCTTTCTTCAAGATTCTTAGACATAAACTTAAGACCGACTTTCCTACATTCCTTAAAATCACGATCAAATGTATGATACTTGTAGCAAATTGCACAGTGCAAAACTTACGCATATGACCTATTTGTTTACAAGGAAGACAGAGGAGTAGTATATCTCTAACGATTGATCAAGCTGGGCACGTTGGTTTTCTGTTAGTTAAGAAAAAATGTGCATGAAAATGCGAAAAACCCTCCATCAACTCACCTTTCTTTCAGGTTTAGTAATTTCACTAAATTACTCGAGATAGTCTATAATCTTGCAGGAGAATTAAGTAATACTGTCAGTCAAGCAAAGATTTAATTTAACACGTGAAATCATTCAATAGCATATGGCTTATCACACATAATTGCAACCGCAACTGAAATTTCTTTTAACGTTGGAAAGTGTAAATGGTTAAATCGTAATTTTTCGGGACCGAACACTTTGTAAGCTCACAACAAAATTGAAGACTTTTTTGATTTGGTTGTTGTGTTTTTTTTTAATTTCGCGCAAAGCTACACGAGAGCTATCTGCGCTAGCCGTCCCAAATTTAGTAATGAAAAACTAGAGATAAGGCAGCTACTCATCATCACCCACCGCCAACTCTTGGGATACTCTTTTGACCACGAATAGTGGGATTGACCGTCACGTTATAACGTTCCCACAGCTGAAAGGGCGAGCGTGTTTAGTAGTACAAGGATTCGAACTCGCGACCCTCAGACTATTTTGAAGTCCTGCAGAAAGTGAGTTCCTCCTGTAACAAAGTAATAAAGCAGTTTTTAAATTAATTAATTAGATAAGAAAGAGAAAGGAAACTATCTGAAAAGTATTACAGAGTTAATACAAATAGCTGTATTCTCCTCTACCAGTTACTTAGCGGTAAGCTTGAGAAGTTATAGCGCTAACATACAGGTTTATATCTCTGCGGTGGGTGGAATATAAATAGCCTATTCTACAGTTTTGTGCTCAATAAAAATCTTTCCTGTATAAGTGCACTTAATAATACTTAAAATACTGTTTGTTTGTTTGTTTGAAGTTAAGCACAAAGCTACACATTGGGCTATCTGTGCTCTGCCCACCACGGGTATCGAAACCCGGATTCTAGCGTTGTAAGTCCGCAGACATACCGCTGTGCTACTGGGGGGCAAAAATACTGTTAACGAAACTCATTAAATACAAAATGTCTGAATCTTATCAAATTTTTCTAGTGGAAAAGACCGACCGGTAAATGATGCTTTATATGGGTTTAGTGAGGGAGAGATAGATGAATATAATTTTTAGATTTGCGCGGTCTTTTTTTTTTTTCCATTCCAAAAGAAATATGAGATTATTCAACTTGTTAGCTAAAATTAGCACCCATGTTTTTTGTTTTTTTTACGTGATAAAACCCATATCTAACCAGCTGAGAACTCTAAACAGTTTATTCTGAAGCTCTAATTATTTTATTAAACAAGATACTGACTAGGAACACAAATTGCACAGATCAGTTCTGGTTTGTTATGAATTTCCTACAGAGCTACACAAAGCAACATGAGGGCTATCTGCGCTAGCCGTTCCTAATTTAAGAGTGAATGATTAGAGGGAAGTCAGCTAGTCAACTGTTGGGCTATTTGTTTTTTACCAACGAATAGTGGGATTGACCGTCAAATCATAACGCCCCCACGGCTGAAGGGGCGAGTTTGTTTGGCGTGACGGCGATTCGAAAACCCGCGACCCGCCGATTGCGAGTCGAGCGTCTTAACCACCTGGCCATGCCGGGCCTGCACAGATAAGTTCTGGTTTCGTTTGTTTTCAATTACGCACGAAGCTACACGAGGGCTATCTGTTCTAGCCGTTACTAATTTAGCAGTGAAAGAATAGAGGGAAGTCAGCTAGTCAACATCACCTTCCGCCAACTGTTGGGCTATTTTTTCCAACGAATAGTGGTATTGACTCTCTCATATAACGAACCCACGGCTGAAAAAGCGAGCATGTTCGGTGACGGGGAGTTCGAACTCTCGAACCTCAGATTGCCATTCGAGCGCCCTAACCACCTGGCCATGCCATGTGGACAGATAAGGTAATTACGAGTGTAAATTTTCAGAATCGGTAAGCTGAACATTTTAAATTTCAAACGTACTTTTGCTTCTGCGTTTTACGAATTATACAGTATTACTTTATCATGCACTTAGATTTCACATTTTATTTATTAATATGTCCCCGCAATTTACAATTTCTCCTTCTGTTTTTTTTGTACCTATTGTTTAATTTAGATTTAATTTTTTAATATCTACTTAAAAAGAACAAATACAATTGTAGACAATTA